CTTCCTTCCTTCCTTCCTTCCTTCCTTTCTTCTCAATCACTGGAGGTTTTCAGGAAGAGACCGGGCAGCCCCTTGTCTGAAATAGTCTTAGGGCCTCCTGCTTGATCAAGAGGCTGGACTAGCAGACCTCCAAGGTCCCTCCCAGCTTCTCTTCTGATTCTGAGGTGAAACCCAGCCCCGTTGAGTGAGGAAGGCTCATGGCTGTTTTTGGTCCTGCAGGATTACACCGAGTCGCCCAAGCCTCCCGACCTTCCTTGGGGGAAACTCTTCATCATGGCGATGGCGGTCGTGGGGATGGCATTGCTGGCCCTGACTTTCCTGCTGGCCGGGCTTCACATAACGGAGAAACATGCAGAGGCGGTAAGGCCGGCTTGTTGGGGGCTCTTGGGGTGAAACCCTGATTTCCAGAGAAGTTCATAATCATTCATCGTCACTAAAGCCACCCCAAAGAACCAGGACGATGGCCGTGATTGTGCGGTTGACACCCTACCCCTTGTTTACGTGAAGATGTCCTAAAAGCAGAGGTGGGATTCAGCTGGTTCTGACTAGTTTCTGGAGAACCAGTAGTGGAAATTTTGAGTAGTTCGGAGAACCAACCAATCCCACCTCTGACTGGCCCCGCCAACCCCATCTCTTCTCCGCCTCCCGTTGAGTCCCAGCTGATCAGCTGGGTCTTCTTTGGTTGCCTTGCACAGGAGAACAGAGCTGGAAAGCAGGTTAGCCATGCCCACCAAGCCACGCACACAGAACTAGTAGTATACAAAAATTGAATCCCACCGCTGCCTAAAAGGTAAATGTAAAAGTTCCCCTCGCACATCCGTGCCAGTCATTCATGGCTCTAGGGGGCGCTGCTCATCTCCGTTGCAAAGCCGAAGAGCCACCGCTGTGCGAAGACGTCTCCGTGGTCACGTGGCCGGCAGGACTCAACGCTGAAAGCGCACAGAACGCTGTTACCTTCTTCCCACCAAAGTGCTCCCTATTTTTCTACTTGCATTTTTTTTTTTATGTGCTTTCGAACTGTTCGGTTGGAGGAAGCCGGGACAACAAATTGAACACGGACCGGTCTCTCATCCCCTAAAAATTGTCCCCCAGCATAACTTGCCCAACAGTCAGGAATGAAGGGGATTGGCAATTAAAACATCTGGAGAACATCCCATGTTCCACCTGGAGGAAAAACGTATTTAGTATTCAGCAGCCAGCCATTAAAAAGCAATTCATGCTCCTTTGGGTCTCAGAAGTACCACTGGGAAATAACCTTATTTTAACCAATAAAGAGCCTGTAAACTTTTAGTGTTGCCAATGGCTGGGTTCCCATCACGGGTGAAAACCAGACTCAAATGGGCCTGGCCAGCTTGTGTTTTGTTTATGCTGTGGGGAGCCAGCCATGGTCTGAGTAGGTAACGCAAGCCAGGCCGTTGTGTGAATCCATCTCTCGAGTTATTTATGCGGCATTGTTGGCTCAACAGGTGGTTTTCTTAAACCAGGATGAAGTTTCGATGTGATGCATGACACCCAGTCTTCTCTTCATCCTTTCTGGAAGTCCTGATGCCCATTTTTCTTCCCTTTTGCTTTGGCTTCTTGGCGATTCCTAGGTCCTGCAAATGACCATTCAAGGCCTGGACGGCAAAGGGTCCTCCCAGCACCTGACCATGAGCCAGAAGGAGAAACTGGCCATATTTCCCATCCACATGAAGCTCAACTCTTCGGCCACGGTGGTTTATGACCACAGCAATGTAAGAGTTGTCCCGTCTTCTGCCTTCACCTGCCTTGGTCAAAGGTTTGCTTGTGTGCCTGACTGGCACCTGTTCGGAATTGAAGTATTCTCCCCCGCCTTTCGAAGTAAACTTCTAGTTCTTGTTGTGACACAATGGAATCTTCTTTATGGGTCCACTGGAAAGCTCCAACCCAAAGATACGTCCCAGGTTTTTTGGGGGGGAGGGTCTTCCTTATTGCAATTCAGTTAGAGAGGAGAATGGATGAATAATCAATGTCTTTTAATAACCCCATAATCCCTTGGGGAGGTGGGGTGGAGTTTGGGCAATTGAATGGAGCTAGCAGAGTATTTAGTGGCCGGATGCCTATGTTCTATTCTATGTTCTCTTCCATTCCATTCTGTTCTATTCTATTCATTTCTTTTCTTTTCTATAGTCTATTCTATATTTGGTTTGTTCCATTCCATTCTATTCTATTAATTTCTTTTCGTTTCTATAGTCTATTCTATTCCCAGGAACTGCCTAGAGGGGTGATAAAGGGTCTTTATCTGGGGAAAGTTGTCTCAGGAAGGGAGGCTGTGAGTGAGCTCTGTGGTCGGATACAGGGGTGGGATTCTAGCTCGGACCGGTTCTATAGAACCAGTTGTTACAATTCTGTGTAGCTCAGAGAACCGGCAAATCGTGGCACTGGCTGGCCCCTCCCTGCCCCTCCCCGCCTACTCACTCTTTACCTGGCATGCGCGCCATCCAACTTGCCTGCGTTGTGCATTTGCCTAATTTTTGGTAAGTTGCTATTTTTCCTTCCCCCCCCCCCACCCAACCATCAGCTGTTCCAACTATCAGCTGTGCTGGGAGATTTAGATTATCTAAAAAGCAGGGAATCGTTGGATTTCTTGCTTTCTAGCTAATCTAAAAGCAGAGCTGAACCTTCCTTAGGGCTGAAGCTTCTATTTTTCAGTCTAGACTCAGGTAGCAGATTGCAGATAGGTAGATCTCTGAGTGAATCTGTGATTCTGCGAGCAACTCAATCTGCCTGCCTGCTTTGCCTGATTTGGGGTCAAAGTTGCTCTTTTTTTAATATAGAAAATCCAATATTTACATAAATATTTACAATATTTACATACAAGCCACACCCTGCCAGTCACGTGACCACCAAGCCACATCCAGTCAGTCATATGGCCACCAAGCCACACCTCCAAATTAGGCCATGACCACAGAACCGGTTGTTAAGAAATTTGAATCCCAGCCCTGGTCAGACACCCAAATACTTGACACTTGTGAAGGTGGCTTCTGCCATCGCAAGCTCATCTCCACACTCTGCCTTTGAACAGCTGGTGATCGGCTACAGATCGTGGCCAGGAAAGTCCTGCTATGTCACCAGAATGAACCCGAAGGACATCCAAAGCCTGGATGCCCTCGCTGAGATCTTCCAGCATGTCCAGGTGAGTAAAAAACGGGGTGGGTGGGGGGAAAGTGAGGGCGTTCATGGTGGGAGGGTGAGAGAGCCATTCAGGGCTTAGGAACAATCGCTAAGTGCATGGTTATAATTTGAGTTGCAGGTCCCAAAATAAGGCCATGGGAGACCCTTTCTCCTGCCCACCAGGAGGGAGAAGCTGCTTGCTCTTGAGTTTCTTTCCTGGTAGAGCAATTCTTCCTTCCCTCCACCCCTTTCCTCTTGCAGGAGCCCCCTCCCCTGCTGCCCCATGAACAGGGAGAGAAGCCAGTGGAAAACCTCTCGGCAGTGCCAGCTCAGCGTTCAACCTTGGGAGTCGCCATCAACCTTCTCTGCGGCAGCCTCCCCGTCTACTGGGCTTAACGGAGTCAGGATGAGAGGCAGAGCGGCGGGCAGGGAAACGATGGACTGCCTAGTGTCTATGGAGAGTCTCCATCCTCCAGTCGCGTTGTCCCAAAAGTGCTTCTGTCAGCGTTCCAGCAAACCTCCACTCCAACCAATAACTCCGAAACAGACACCCTCTCAAAAGTTCTGTTTTGTTTGGATAATAAACTGGCACAAACTGGGGAATCCCGAATCTGAAAGTTCCAGGCTTCCTTGTGATAATCCGTCCCTTGCACCCATCATTGCATCCCATGCCCCAATCATCACCCCCGTCCCTACTTGAGACATTCTCTCACCCAGGTGCAGAGATAACATGACCTTGAATTGGAAAAAGAATGTTGTTATGTCTAACTGCATACACTCCAAAAACATTCCCCGCTCCCACTTTCCCAGGCTCAAGAATATGGCAGTGTGGAAGGGTCTGGGGCTAAGATGGCTTCTAAAGCTGACAGCTTCTTCCACAGGCGAGTGAACTTTCTAGTTTTTCTTTGAAGACGTTTTGCTTCTTATCCAAGAAGCTTCTTCCAGTCTGGCTGGATGGTGGGGAATGGAAGGAGGGGAGGGGTGGGATACAACATTACCTATCTCCAGTCTATAACACAGTCCTTTCAGCAGTTCCAAGAAGGCCCCACATCCCTTTGCACCACTCGGGCGATCCTGAGGACACAGATGAACCTCCAAGTGGCCTCAATGACCCTTTAAAAGGATGCAAATGACCAGCTGTTGCAAGGAATATAAATCCTTCCATTCCCCACCATCCTGTCAGAGCTGAAGAAGCTTCTTGGATGAGAAGCGAAACATCTCCAAAGAAAAACCAGAAAGTCTAGTTGCCTCTTGGGGGAAAAAGCACCTTTGGGATGAACCACCACAAGCAAAATGGCTGCCCGTCACCTCTCGATCATCCAGACTCTGCTTTTTCAACCGGCAACTGGGCCTTCTCGGTTTTGCTCTTTGGAAAAGTTTCACTTCTCATCCAAGGAGCTTCTTCAGTTCCTCAGGATGAAGGACCCATCCCTTCTTGACCTGAACTGCCAGAAGCAACAGAAGGAAAAGGCAGCCTGGCCTTATTCCTCATGCTAACAAACAATGGCTTGTCTATCAAGGCTTGTTCTGACGATATAATTCCCTCTGTGGTTTGCAATTTAGACCCCTGACCTTTGGGATTAAAAAGAGTTAAAAAGGGGGAAATCAAAACGGCAATTTGGAAATAATAATTTGATGTTTTCTTACTTTTTTCACTTTTTTTTCTTATTTGCTATCTTCTTTCATATTCCTTTGGTTTTTCTGTACTTTTGTTGTATCGGAAAAATAACAATAAAATCTTTTTTTTTTAAAAAAAGGTAATAATCTCACCTTGTCTGGGACCTTCTTTGATGTCAGACTATAAACCAGGGAGATGAATGGTTAGAATATATCTTAGCCAGCACTTGGCTCAAGTCTCCGCACACTTTTTGTGCAGACTATGAAGTCCTGGGTGTTGTGTTTTGTTTAGGCGGTTACGCCTCCCTGAGTCTCAATAAATCTCAATAAACCAGGTTGTTGAAAGCAAATCAGGGATGCCAGCTTGTCAAAAAAAGCTGCAGAGGCTCTGGAAGATGGTTTACTACAGGTTTCCTAAAAGACAGAGAGCAGAAAGCCCCAACCAAACACTTGTGTTGCACAAAGAACACACCTCCGGCATTGGAAAACATCCCTTGCAAGACAACAGCTGACGAGAATGGCACTCCTTTTCCTAAAATATTGAAAAGCAGAGCACACTGAAGGAGATGAGCAAATGACCATTCACAGGCCAGCTTTTTTTAAAATAAACTTTATTAAAGTTTTACAGTTTTACAAACACATCATATTTACACTTTTTGCAATACATTGTGACAGGACTTAATGGCCACTTAATGCTCATAACAGGACATGTAGGTATCTATTTATTTAGCCACCAAATCTCTGATGTACAGTTACTACATAAGGGAAATTTAATCCCAGCAACCTAGCATTTGGGGATGCTGCTCAGGTGCCAACTAAAATCGTATGGGTCTGCTACTAATGATATGTGGGAATGACCCAGGGGTGGGATTCCATTTTTTTAACAACCGGTTCTGTGGGCATGGCTTAGTTGGTGGGCGTGGCTTGGTGGTCATGTGACTGGGTGGACATGGCTTGGTGGTCATGTTATTGGCTGGGCGTGGCCAACTCAGTATCACTCACACCGAGGCATGCATCTCCTTGCTCGGCCTTTGAAGACTGTGGGGATGCTGCAACAGTCGTAAGTGGGAAAAATGGTCATAAGTCACTTTTTTCAGTGCCATTGTAACTTTGAATGGTCACTCCACACAAGCAAAGTACCAACAAAGGAGGGGGAAAATAACTCCAGAGAAGTTCCTGAGACAGGAAGTCTAGTCCTGCCAAGAATGTAATCAGGGTTAACAGAGAGGCAGTTTCTGTAAGCAACCCCAGAATGTTTCCTTCCTGCCTTCCTTACAGGATTAGCCCAGTAATTTCTTCTAACAACCGGTTCTCCGAACTGCTTAGAATGTTAACAACCGGTTCTAGCGGATAGGTGCAAACTGGTAGAATCCCACCCCTGGGGCAGACCTTGGGAGAAAGGAGGAAGTGCCACAGATTGGGTAAGGATTAGATAAGAGGGGGCTGAGCCCACAAGGGGAATAGGGGTGTGGTAAACATCTCAGAAGAGACCCTCCCTAGTTTCTTGGACTTTATATACTTTCAGACTAACAAGACTCAGTTACTCTAACCTTGCAATACAGCTAGTATTGGGGAAAATAATATATAGGAAAAATAATAATAAAATAATATAATAATAATAATGTATCGGAAAAATAATAATAAAATCTTTTTTTTTAAAAAAGGGTAATAATCTCACCGTGTCTGTAATAATCTCACCTTCTCTATTCTATTCTATTCTATTCTATTCTATTCTATTCTATTCTATTTTTTATTCTACTCTACATTCTATTCTATTCTATTCTATTCTATTCTATTCTGTACTCTACTCTATTCTATTCTATTCTATTTTTATTCTATTCTACATTCTATTCTATTCTATTCTATTCTACATTCTATTCTATTCTATTCTATTCTATTCTATTTTTATTCTATTCTATTCTACTCTATTCTATTCTATTCTAAAAGGAATGTGAGTCAAGAGGAGAAGGGAGATAAATAAGGGAGAACGGAACTGTCCTTCACTGGGATCTTAGATTCTTGTCAACACAGCAGGCCCTGCCTTCTGGTTATGTAGTCCAATGCTCCAGGAGCAGGTTGGAAGGTGCGTCAAACCCAAGACCTCACCGCAGCTGCTTCCTCCTGTCCATCCTATTTTGAACACCAGCTTCATCAGTCAGGAAGACAACTTTTAAGCCCCGCTCCCCACCAACTCCTGTGACACTTCTTCAGCCTCAATCACAATAACACACAAGCAAACAACCAATAGAAACTCGAGGTAAACTCCTCCAAACTCGATGGCAGAAAACACAACTTCAGCCACAGAGTGGTCAACGCCTGGAACGCCTTACCCAACTCCGTGGTTACAGCCTCAACTCCTCATAGCTTCCACCTCAAACTGTCTACTGTGGACCTAAGAGGTCTTCAGAGGGGCCATGCATAAGCGCACCAGCATACCTACCGTCCCTGTCTTACTGTCCCCGTTTACCTGCATTTACTCCCTTCGTTCTTGTTTATGTTTATACTTACACTTGTTATCTTGTACATGTTTGACAAACAAACAAACAAATAAATAAAATGTTAAATAGGGGGCCCTTCTCAAGGTAACCTTCCTTGGCCAGAATGAAGAATAGTCATAGCACAGCTGGAGTTGGGGTGTCATCCTGCAAAAAAACTCAACATGATAGCTACTACTGTGTGATCAATATACTACATACATAAGAAGGGCAATGCTTCAATTGTTCCGTGGTGAGTGCCACCATGACCCCCCCAAAATCCTTCCCTACTTACTCCTTCAAGAAGTAGGAACATTCAGCCTAAGGACGTTCTGGGTTCTTTCTGAACATATTTATGACTCCATCTCTTTTCTGGCACACGCTTGGCACAATGAGCAAAGCGATTGACCAACTTCCATTTGTCTTCTTTGTAAAGCCATTAGGCAGGACAAGGGAGCTTTGCCCAGCTTTTATTTCATAACAATCTTCTCTTGGAAAAGGGTCTCCTTGAAGACTAATTCAACTCAAGTTTTTTACGAGTCATCCAAAGCAAAGAAAAGATTTCTGGCCAGAAAATTATGAACCAATAGTCAACTCCTCACAATGCATCGAGTATTCAGCGTTGGGGAAGGAAGTACTTCAACTCAAACCCTCGTGATTGAAGTGTAGGGTGGAAAGGACACTTTCAGCTCCTGGCTCTCCACGGCAAGACCAGGCCCATCTTGGGCAACTTCAAGGAGAGTTTTAAGGACACCGAGAGAAGGTTTGAAGGAGAAAAGGACTCCAAATAGTTGAGTTATCAAAAACATGTTGCAAGGCAAAAAAATTTTTAAAAAAACACACACAAGGTGGAACTTTGGTGACAGCAAAAAGACCACTTGGGGATTTTTACATTTGACTGAGGCTGCTGAATTATTCAAGATGTATGCGAGAATTCAGTATCGGGGAACGCTGGGGTTGTTGGTGTTAAAATGCCAAGATGGTAGCCTTCCAGGGAAAATCCTGGAAAAGGTGTATCAAGCGGAGGATTTGTGAGCACCTAGAAACAAACAAGGGGATTACTAGAAGCCAGGCTGGGTTTGTTAAAAACAGATCATGCCAGGCAAACTTTATTGCCTTTTTTGGACAAAGGAACTAAATTAGCGGATCAGAAAAATACCATGGACCTAATATACTTATACATAGTATACTAGTATAGGGCATAGTATATAGGCTCTAGAAAAAGTGCAGAGAACAATAAACATGGTTACTGGAGGCTGACATGGGTATGTCTAGTCTTTTTTTAAAAAGAGAAGGGCTAACGGTGTCATGATAGCAGTCTTCCGGTATCTGAAGAGCTGTCACAGAGAAGAGGGAGTCAACTTATGCTCCAAAGCAGGACAAAAAGTGACAGATGGAATCAACCTAGAAGTTTAGGAGAAAAGAAGTGAGAACAATCGACGAGTGGAATTGCTTGCCTCCAAAACTTCTGGGTGCAGGGGGTTGGACTAGAGCAGTGGTCACCAACCAGTGGGCCGAGGACCACTGGGGGTCCATGATAAAATGTTGGTGGTTCGCAGAGAAATGTGTCCCCCCCAAAGCAATTAATCCAGGCTGCGCGGGAACACAAGGCTGAGGCGCCCACATGGCCTGCGGGAACACAAGGCTTGCGTCGCTTGCACTGCGAACAACACGAGGTAGTGAGGGGAGGGTGGAAAGGGTGGAAAGGGGGAACTTGCCCCATTCACCCCACGTGCCTGGCCTGGCCACCGGGCTGCTTCTTTCTTCTTCTGCTTTTGGCTGCACGCAAGGAAAGCAGCCAAAGTCTTTCTTTCTCTCCCCCAAACTCCGCCAGAAATCAGTCTTTGGGACCCTGCAAGGCCTCCTGCTCCAAGAGGCTGCACCGGCAAAGACTCATTTCTGGCGGAGTTTGGGGGAGAGAAAGAAAGACTTCTGCAGCTTCTGCTGCTTTCCTTGCATCAAGCCAAAAGTCTCTCCCTTTCTCTCTCTCTTTCCCTCTGAGAACGGAGCTGGAGACAATATCCTGCGATCCCAAATAAAGAACGATCAATCGGTAGGAAAACGGGGTGGGGATTTTCCTGCAGACTTTTTTGGGGGGATTTTCCCAGGGTCTCTGGTCCGTGGGATTTAAAATGATGAGTTTCCCTGAGGTCCCAAAAGTTGGCAGCCCCTGGACTAGATGACCTCCAAGCACCCTTCCAACCCTATTAATTCTGCTATCCGCTTGCTTCAAACCTGCCCACCATGCAGACCCCACTATAACCCATCCCCCAAATAATATTGTCTGCCCCAAAACCAAGCGAGCTGAGGAGATGGGAGAGAGAGGCCATTCCTTACCACGAGGGTGTACACTTACCCTAAGGATGGGGCCACCCCTCACAAGGCTCTCATTTGGTTCCCAAGGCCTGATGTTTGCCACTTTTCGGGCTACCCAAGGGCCATCCAGCTGGGGACAAGTGTCCACTCAACTCCATGAAGAGTCTTTTGAAAGACGCCATGTGTGTTTCACAAGAAGTTGGCCCTGTCTCAGAGACTTGGCTGAGAAGGACGGAACAGCGGAGAATCCGGGTCTCAAGTCCAACCAATGAAGAGAAGGTCTGTCTCGTAGCCAGAGAAATGGAGTGGGGGGGGAGAACCACTCCCCTCTCTTTTAGAGTAGTATTCCTGTGTGTGTGTGTGTGTGTATATATATAAAACTTCAACTCTTCCCACTTCAGTAACTGGCGAGGGGGAGACCTCATGTTGAGGCGAGAGCCCAGGGATGGAGATGGCGGAGAAGATAGAAATTGTCACCAAGGAGGCCTTACTCAAAGCACCATCAGCTGTGAGTCCCTTTGCTACATATCTACGCTTCCTTCCCCTTTGGGCTTTCTTTTTTTTCCAAATCGCAGAGGCTTAGATTTAAATTTAAATAAGTGCCTGGATTATCTGAACCCCTGGGATCTAAAACAGGTTTTGTTGGCATGAAGAGAGACGCCACTCTCTACTTTTGAAAAGCCCCATTAAAAACTTGCCTGTCTCCAGATGCTGGAAATATTATTCAGGATTTCTTGATGAGGGCTCACTGCTACGATTCCGACGCCCGAGGTTAGAATTAACCCCGAATTCTTTGAGTTACACCTTGGAAATAGATACCGGAGCTTTAGAAATCTTCAGACCAAGCAAATATGGGGATGAGCTGCAGTGGTTTTTAGAATGGAATGGAATGGAATATAGAGTAGAGTAGAGTAGAGTAGAGTAGAGTAGAGTAGAGTAGAGTAGAGTAGAGTAGAATAGAATAGAATAGAATAGAATAGAATAGAATAGAATAGAATGGAATGGAATGGAATGGAATAGAATAGAATAGAAATAGAGTGGAGTGGAGTGGAGAGGAATGGAATAGAATAGAATAGAATAGAATAGAATAGAATAGAATAGAATAGAATGGAATGGAATGGAATGGAATGGAATGGAATGGAATGGAATGGA